CTCCACCTCAACCGCCTCGCAGCTCCACCCGCCGCCCAGCGCCGGCCCCCCCGGCTCGTGCCACACCGCCAGCGCCCCCAGCCGCCCCAGCCGGCCGCCCCGCAGCGTGAACGCGTCGACGCGGCCGCGGGAGAAGGCGCCCTTGGCGCGCGGGAGCTCGTGGGACGCGAAGCGGCCGTCCTCGCCGCGCAGCTCGATCTGGATCCGCTGGCCGGCGGCGAGGCCGCCCGACAGGCGGTCGCCCGTGTAGACCCGCAGCCGGTACTCTGCTTCCGCCGCCGCAGGCCGCAGCGCCGCCGCGGCGTCGGAGAGCGCCACCGGCTCGAACGCGCCGGGGGCGCCGTCCGCAGCGGCGGCGGCGGCTTGGATGCGGCGGCCCTGATGCTGCTGTTGCTGCTGCTGCTCATGCTGCTGCTGCTGCTGCTGCTGCTGCTGCTGCTGCTGCTGCTTCTGCTGCTTGCCAGAAGCGCCGCGGCCCCCGCACACAGCACCCACGCCAGAGGTGTCGGCGCCGCCGCCCTCACCAAATCCCACCGCCTCAACCTCAGGCCCGGCACACGCCCGCGCCTCCTCACCATCCTCCGCGCAAGCGCACCCGCCCCAGCCTTCGCCGCCTGCCCGCGCCGAACTCTGCCGCTCTGCCCTGCCGTCGCCTCCGCCTCCGCCGCCGCCGCCGCCGCCGCCGCCGAGCGCGATGTAGCCGTCGATGCCGTCGCCCCCGAGGTGCGCGCTGTAGGTGGTGATCTCGTCGTCCCCCTGCGCATCCAGCAGCTGCTCCTCAGTAAACGAGATCACGCTGCTGCCGCCGTCGCTGTCCCCGGCGGCCCCGGCGGCGTCGAACTCGAGCTGCTCCGCGTATTCGCCGAACCGCACAGCCTTGCTGGCGCGGCGGCTGCCCACGGCCGCTGCTGCGTCGGCGGGGCCGCTGCCGTCAAGCAGCGCAGCCGCGCCGGAAGCCGCGGGGGCCGCTTGCGACGTGCCGGCTGCCGGGGCCGCTTGAGATGCGAAGGCAGGGCCGGCGGCGCCCTCGTCGTCGTCTGTGCTCTGGCTGAAGGGCGCCAAGGGGACGAGCCGCACCACAGCCGGCACGAGGCTGCCCGAGACGCGCCGCGCCGCGGGCGACGGCGGTCCAGCGGTGGGGCCGGGCGGCGCGCTCACGCAGCGGCCGGTCGCGAGCAGGTGAGCGACGCCGCCGGGCGAGGCGCCGGCGAGCTCGCAGCTGCCCGCCCTAGCCTGCGGCGCTGCCGGCTGCTGCTGCGGCTGCTGCATCCACGGGACACCGCCGCCTTCCCCCAGCAGGCAGCCGCTGCAGAACGCGCCGTCCGCACCAGCCCCGCCCCCGCCCCCGCCGTCCAGTGAGATCCTCACCGGCGACCGGGAGCGAGAGCGCGAGCGAGCGCAGCGTGGGGAGTCGCGCAGCTGCAGCTCGACCTCGTCCAGGGGGGCAGACGCCCTCCCCCGCTCCTCCTCGTGCTCCACTTCCTGCGAGCCGTCCTCCACCTCCTCCGCCTGCTGCTCCTGCTCCTGCTGCTTCTGCTGCTGCTGCTGCTGCTGCTGCCGCGCACCTGTTGACCAAGAGGCGGTAATGTTTGTGGCTGCTGCTGCTGCTGCTGCTGCCGTTGGTGCTGCTGCTGGATCCGCCTGAACTGATGGCGCGGCTGTGACGATGCACGCGAGGGCCGGGGCAGGCGCAATCACGCCGGAGGCTGCCGGAGACGCCGCGCAGGTGCGGGGGGCAGCCGCGCCGCCGGTGCTACCGAGGCCGCTGCTGCTGAGCTGCAGGCTGCGGGCGTTGGTGCTGCCGCCGCGGATCCACCCGTGGCTGCTGAAGCGCCACCACGCGCCTAACGCGGGGGCCGCATGGCGGTCGCACGCAGAGTATTAAATCAAAGTCAGCATCAGCATTGCGCCAGAACGTAGCCGGAGGTGCGCTGACTCAGCAGGCCAATCAAGGACCGCAGCCGCCTGGGGTTCTGCGCTCTGCTAGGGTTTGCGTTCGCACGCACCCGCAAGGCAGCAAGACCCCCTCTTCACATGGACATGGGCAAGAGCATCATTGTCAAGCGCTCCAAGCCTCACCTGTTGCCAGCTCTTGGACGATCAGCTCTTCCAAAAGCCACGCGTTGGCGTAGCCCTGGCCGTCATGCCAAACACTCACCGCCGCCACGCCGCCGCTGCCCCCGTTGCTGCCGCCACCGCCGCCGCCACACTCCTCAAGAAGGAACTCGAGGCAGCTGCCATCAGTGAAGGCGCCGCGCCCGCTGTTCAGCGGTAGTTCGATGTGGGCTCCGCAGCCTGTGGTGATCCTGAGGGTCACTAGACCGTCCGTACCGGATCCGCTCTTCGCGGCTGTTCTGACGACGACACGGTACCCGCCGCCGGCGCTGCAAGCACTGCTCGCAGCTGCGCCACACGGCGCTGCGGCTGGCGGGGGCGGCGCCTGCTCGGCTGCCGCAGGTGCCTGTCCGACTTCCTTTGGCGCCGGGGCATCCATCGCCATGGGCGCGGCGACGAGATCGGCACCTGCGCCGGGGGCGTCGCTGCTGCCGGTGCTGGCAGCGGCATGGCCGCTGCCTCCTGCCCAATCCAGCAACCGCCGTTTGGGCCGGGTGGTGCTGGCCGGCTGCTGCTCGGCTGTCAAAGCGGCGCGTCCACGCCAACCTGCCGCCGGGCTGCTGGCAGCAGCGGAGGCCAGAGTTGCGGGCTCGGCTGCGTCTGTGGTGTCTGAGAGCCGCTCGCCGGCTCTGCTGCCGGTGAACAGTCGCTCCTCGTGCTCCCACGCCACTTCGCTGACATCATCGGCATAAGCTCCACCCCGCAGGCGCAGGACGCCATCATCCCCATGGTTTTCTTGGTGCTCCTCCTCCGCCTGCTGCTGCCGCTGCTGCTGCTGCTGCCGCCGACCCAGATTGCTGGGCGATGGGATGGTGTCAAGGCCAGGCAGAAGCAGCAGATCGCTGTCGCCGTCCGATCCTTCCAGATCAATCAGGCTGCTGGTGGCGCTATAGGGGGACGGGCTTCGTGACCCACTTGTCAGTGGGTGCAGAGGGCCACCAGCACGAGGCATCCCAGCCGCGCCGCTCCACTGCTGCTGCTGCTGCTGCTGCTGCTGCTGCTGCTGCTGCTGCTGCTGCTGCTGGTGCTGCTCCAAGGCTGCCGCCGCCGTTGGCTGGCGTCCCAGCGGCTGCGGCCCATGGAGCTGCAGCAGCGCCGCTGGCAGCCGCCCCGGCCGCCGCGGCGGCGTGCCGCCGGCCGAGTTGGGCGCGGAGCCTGCGCGCGGCGCGCCGGAATCCGAGTCGCTGCCCAGCGCCGCCACTACCGACTCCATGGCCATGGCCTGCCGCCGCACGCGCCCTGGCGACGCCTGGGCTGCCACCTGCAGCCCCTGCTTCGCCAGGTCGTACTCTGAGGGGCCCTTGTCCCCGGCAGCCGGCGCGTGCCTGAGGGCGACCGGCGACGGCGGCGCAGGGAGCTCGGGGCTGACGCTGCGACGGGCGACAGCGGCGCGGCCGGCAAGCAGGCCGAGCCGCAGCGGCGGTACAGTCCCCGCCCCGGCC